CTACTAAATCAACATGACAAAACTTTTCAAAGATACTACATGTTAACTTGTTTTTTCTACTAAATCAACATGACAAAACTTTAACTTGAATGAATCTCTGACTAGATTAGTAGGATTTTCTTCCTTTAATTCATTCTATTGGACATAATTAATTTGATCAGCTTATGTATTTTGAATAATATGATTTTATAAATATGTGCCATTCATAAGTATGTATATGTGAATATATGATCAGCTTATGTATTTTGATTAATATGATTTTATAAATTTTTGCCTTAAATAATACGAATGTATGCGTGAATATACGATCAGTTTGTGTATTTCGACTAATATTATTTTACAAACGTGTGTCATGTATAAGTATGTATATGTGAATATATGATTAGCTTATGTATTTTGACTTATACGATTTTACAAACGTGTGGTATACATAAGTATGCATATGTGAATATATGATCAGCTTATGTATTATGACTTATACGATTTTACAAACGTGTGGCATACATAAGTATATACATGTGAATATATGATCAGCTTATGTATTTCGACTAATATGATTTTATAAATATGTGCCATCCATAAGTATGTATATGTGAATATATGATTAGCTTATGTATTTTGAATAATATGATTTTATAAATTTTTGCCTTAAATAATACGTATGTATGCGTGAATATACGATCAGTTTGTGTGTATTTCGACTAATATGATTTTATAAATATGTGCCATCCATAAGTATGTATATTTGAATATATGATTAGCTTATGTATTTTGACTTATACGATTTCACAAACGTGTGGCATACATAAGTATATATGTGAATGTATGATCAGCTTATGTATTTTGATTAATATGATCTTATAAATCTTTGTCATACATAAGTATGAATGTATATGCAAATATATGATCAGTTTGTGTATCTTGACTAATATTATTTAATAAATGCTTGTCATACATAAGTATGTACGTGTGAAAAAATGATTGGTTTATGTACAGAGAATAAACGACGATTTACATACGAAGTAAAGCTCCCATGTTTACTTCTTGTCAGTTTTAGTTGATTTTATGTTCTCTAAGGTTGTGAATAAAAGTGGGAATCAGACAGACGGTGTATCTATGTCCCACCTTGCTCCATATGTACCTTTGTTGTTAACACTGTGTTACTTGTCTGTGTTATATGTCAAACTTGTACGTGTTTATTTTATTTTTTTCTTCTCATACTTAGCTTATCCTAAATGTGTGTTGATAGATAACTTTTTGTCACTTTTTTATCCATTTAAAGACTTTTTCGATCATTTTTATTATATTTTTACATCAAACGTCTTCGTTTTAATTAAATAAAGCATGTGGCATAGAGTAATGTTTCTCATGATGCTATATTTCGTTTTATTTTCTCAAAATAAATTTGACATTAACTTGCTCTCTTAAGTACAATGGGCTATCTGTGCTCTGCCCACCACGGGTATCGAAACCCGGTTTCTAGCGTTGTATGTCCGCGGACATGCCGATTTGCCACTAGAGGGCAACTTGCTCTTTACTAGTACGGTAAATTTAATAAGAAATAAAAAACGTGATTTTTATATAATTTGTTTGAAAATAAGATAGTTTCTTTTCTTCAAATTGTTTAGAATTATTTAGTCAAACGAAGAAAACTGCCTAACTATATAAGGTCAAGTGTATTATAAATAACCAAGGTATTGGTGTCTTATTAGTCTTTTGAATCAAATTGTTTTATTCAGTAGATATGGTTGTCTGATTTTTGGACGCCCACACACATACATGTAGATATAAAACAAACTAAACAGAAGCGATTAAAAACAACTGTCATAAAGTAATTTATTGGGAAAGCAAGTATAAAGCTAGTGGAAATGGACTTTGTCCTTTATTTATCATTCGATGATAGATATAAGACTTTTTCTTTGGAGGTTGGGTGTTACTAAGTTATTTTTTAGAAGTATATTATATGACATTTATCGTACTTTTGAAAAGATTTTCAGTAGCAACAAGATAACATTTTTTTTTTACTTGGCCTAAAGTAATATACACACCAGTTGTCTTAGAGATTAGTGTTGAGTTTAACATGAGGTTAAAACAACATTGAATAAAATAGATGTTGTTCAAATAAATTTAAAAGAGCGGTACATTTGTATTATCCTCATTCGAGTACAGAAAACATATTTAGAGTTAATAAGTAAACAAGCGCGTATTTTTATTTTATAAATAAATCAAACACAAACTGTTTATTATTGTTTGAAACAAGTAAGATAATACATATTAGAAATATAATGGATATTTTACAAAAATGAATTCCAAACTGGTTTACACAATATATTTGAACACTTGGAGTTTTTTTTTCCTCCAAGGACTTATTTTACCATATGATTTGTTGATAGCGTCTACAGTTCCAAACGTTAGACATAAAAATTCTATTTCAAGAAATGTCATCAAGACAAGCAATAAAAAGACAAAATAACACCTTGGAAAACAACTCTTTAAAAATGTATTCATACTTATTCTAAGCATGCGTAAAAGGCGTATTTGGTGCGGTAAAATAATAAAAAACAATCACTATTACTAAAATTACATTATTTATAAAGATGGCAATTGATGTGTTCTAAAATTAAACATTCTGAAGTTTAAGCAATATTGTTTTGTAAACAGCACATTCCTTACGGCAGAAATTGAGTTAAGAAAAACGAACAACTATTAGTATAAAATTTCAAAATAATGCATTTATAACGTTTTCACACATTAGCAAAATATATATTAATAATAAGAAGAAAGAATTAATTGATTTAAATTTCTAATTGAATAATTACAAATTGTTTATTTGAAATAATTAGAAAATTATGAGTTATTTCTATCGGTTTGAAGCAAAGATGAAAGGTATATTAAAGAAAATAAAGATGTTTATAAAATGAGTTACTGGTTTTTGAAATTTGAAGTCCTCTACTGTTGCAGCAAAATTATCGTGATCAATTCTGCCTTTAAGTTAACCCTATCACTGATAACTAATTGAAGCAATACAACTCAAAGTGCCACAATTTTTTAATGTATTTAAAACATATACTATAATGAATTCAACGCACGCTATAATTAATCAAATTATTTTGAATGCTAGTTCGAAACCATTTGTGAATATGTTTGCCAATCATATCTGTACGACATGACTTTTAAAATATAACCAAAAAATTATATTAAATTAGGATATAGAGAATACATGCACGATAAATTAGATAATTATTTTTGAAATTACTTCTTACAAAAGATACTAAAGAAGAGATTCAGAATTCATAATATTGAGGTTCTCTATGAAGCACTCTTAATGTACTTATGCAAGTAACCATAAACTTCTGTCGGTCCTTGTTAATATATTTGAAGTCCTCCATTTCACGTAATAGAAATATCTGATTTAGTGAATCAAAGTTTTCAAGGTTCTCAAGTAAGTTGGAGGCAACGGTAAGGTTATTTAGCTTGGTGCTTGAGTAAGTCTTCTGGGAATTATTAATTAAAGACTACTCGATGAAAATTTTGTTTTAAAATGGGTATTGAGTGATGAAGTACAGACGAAATATATTTCAGAACAACTTTTAGAAATAATAAATTACGAAGAACCGTAATGAAAATTTGGATTGGGAACAGTATGAAGAAATGCGAAAGGAAATCTTACAGACTTGGATCGGGAACTGTAGGAAGAAATGCGAAAGGAAATCTTACAGACTTGGATTGGGAACAGTATGAAGAAATGCGAAAGGAAATCTTACAGACTTGGATTGGGAACTGTAGGAAGAAATGCGAAAGGAAATCTTACAGACTTGGATTGAGAACTGTATGAAGAAATGCGAAAGGAAATCTTACAGACTTGGATTGGGAACTGTAGGAAGAAATGCGAAAGGAAATCTTACAGACTTGGATTGAGAACTGTATGAAGAAATGCGAAAGGAAATCTTACAGACTTGGATTGGGAACAGTAGGAAGAAATGCGAAAGGAAATCTTACAGACTTGGATTGGGAACTGTATGAAGAAATGCGATAGGAAGTCTGAAAGATCATTCGAGGTAGCGAAATACTACTTGCTTAGGCACTGCCTCTACATTCATGCACAAAGTCTGGATAGGAACAAACCTTAAATATTTCACTGAATACGGTTCCACTTGGACACTTAAAAAAATGTATGCGGAACGTATTGCCAACGCGTTCACAACGATAAAAGCGGGTACAGTCGTTAGGAAAGCGAAACCATCCTTCTTTAGTGCATTTAAGACCACTCTCATCGTCAACAGTTGTCGTAGAGACAGGATATTTTGTTGGAAACGTGTTACCGTCTGTTGGGTTGGTAACTGGACTCGTAGTTGTGACGTCAGTTTCTTTCGTAACTACTGACGAATTAGGTTTACTGTTTGTTGATGGTAAATAGGTGGTCACATGGTCACCAGAAACATTCAGGTCTTCACTCAGAACCTTTAACAGCGGGTATCGAACCCCATGGCATTTCCCTTGAAAGTCGTCCGTATCCAAGGACCATATCATACCTCCTCCTAAACCCATGGCTTTGATATAGGCTGCCTGAATATTGTTAAAAGTTTGGTATTTTAGATATTTATATTCAAATTTGTTTTGTTTTTTAAATTTTAATCACACTCCTTAAAAATTAGCTATCTTTATAAAATAAATCACTTAAGATTTATTTACTCAAATAACGTTTAGCTACAATGGAATTTCTTAGGAATATAACAATTAAGTCTGCGAGAAACAGACTAATTCAGACTATTAAGAAAAAATAACTATCATTATTATTATTTCTACATATATAAAACCTGTCTTCCAAATAGAGCAAGGTAGCTGGTTTTTTTGGTTTGTTCTTTTCTTAATGCATTATCCAGTATTCAATATCTTACTCAGACTTTATGTAATATCATAAGTAATGCTTTGAATTTTTGAATTTCGCGCAAAGCTACACGAGGGCTATCTGCGCTAGCAGTCCCTAATTTAGCAGT